GAGAGAACCTTGAAAGCTTTTGATTTTGTAAGAAAATGTGCAAGTAATTACCAGTCAGTTCAAACAAGTCTGTTTGGCCATGATTTTGCTGTTCTCTTGCTACCTCTGTGCTTCCTGTTTAATGAAGATCTTCATTCCAAGGGGTTTATAGTAAAACTGGAGAAATATTCTGATGTCTTCTTTGGGGATCTAATCTCTTTTGTGCATCTACTCTACTTTGAAAATCTTATAAAAATGTCATTGTTAATTGCAAAGTTGCTTTGAAAAATAATAACAAATTGTATATTTTTTCCTTCCAATTAGATGAAGAGCTCCCTGATTATATTATGGTAATGGTGGCCAACAAGAAGAGTCAGGAGCAGATGACAGAGGACCTTTCTCTTTTCCTAGGAAACAACACTGTCAGGTTTACTGTATGGTATGTTTGTGAGCTACTTTTTCCATGAACCTTACTTCTTACAATCATTTCATAACTGCTTTCTGTATATGAGACTTGAGAATATAAGAAATTACACATAACATTTGATCAATTCATTTTTTCTTGTGCATGAAGTGATGCAATATAGTAACTGATATTTTTTAAAATTATTACTTGTAGCTTGCCAATATTCAGGCAGTGGTAACACTGACATATATATACAGCAGTTAGAGATTGAGGTATTGGTATTCTCCTTTTATCCACTTTTCCAGCTGAACCTCAAGGTTCTGAAATGTTCAAAATAAATTAGGAGTTTATTTAGACATGGTTAGCAAAAATGAGTTTAAACATTTGAATCCCATCAAGGGAGTCACCCTCAGAAAATTATTACTGCAAAATTCTATAAGAATAGAGAACATTACACAGTGCAGCCACAGCTGGTTATGGTAGATTTATTTGGTAAACTTCCCGTTTATTCAGATTAACACAGCTTCAGTTAGAGATGTTAATATCGTGTAGGCATTATTGTTATGCAGTGTTGCATCCGTGTTGGTCACAGGATTTTAGAGAGACAAGGTGAGTGAGGTAATATCTTGTATAGGACCAACTTCTGTTGGTGAGAGAGACAAGCAGCTTCTTCCACAAACTCTGCAACATTAACAACCTTCCTCAGAACACTATCCTTACCACCAGGGATGTCACTTCCCTATACGCCAATATCCCTCACAGTGATGGCATAGCTGCCTGCCTCGAAATATTTTCAAGACAATGGACAACCCTCAGATATCTACCTCAAACACATCGAGAAACTCCTCCATTTCATCCTCACTCATGACAATTTTCCATTCAACAACACCACGCTTTGTCCAAACCATGGGAAAAGCCATGGGTACCAGGATGGATTTCCAGTATGTCAACCACTTCATGTTCCTCCTTGAAGAAGAATTTCTGAGCAAATGCACCATGAAACAAGTGATATGCCTCAGATACATCAATGATAGATTTCCACCACAACATTAAAAACCACCACCTGTCCACTAAACTCTTTCTGGAACGCTCCCACGCTAGCATCAATTTCTTGGATACCACAGTCAGCTTCAACAGTGGAACCCTACAGACAACCATATACAAGAAACCCATGGATCACCACATCTATCTTCATAGATCAAGTAACCACACCAAAAAATCTGTTCTTTACAGTCAGGCACTCAGATACCACAGAATATGCTCCAAGGAGAAAGTCCAGGATATATACCTTAACACACTTCAACCACCTTCACCAAACAAGGGCACTCCACCAGAGTAGAAGATCTGGTCAACCATGGAATGGGCCACCCAGATACCCTGAGAAACTGAATACCCCTAGTTATCACCTACCAACCCACACTGGAACCCATATGAGTATCGTGAAACAACTAAAACCCATACTCGATGGGGACTTCATCCTGAAAGAAATCTTTCCAGAACTCCCTCTTCTGACCTTCAAACAATCTCCCAGCCTCTCCAAGCTCCTCATCAAAAGCAAGCTCCCCACAGACCAAAATGCATCAACTCAAAGCAGCACCAGACCCTGCCAGAGCAACAGATGCAAAGCCTGCAGACATATCTCCACTGTTGCAATGATCAACACCCCCCACAACACACCTTTCAAGATCCATGGGTCCTACACATGCCTATCACAACGTGGTGTACCTCATCCAGTGCACTAAATGCCCCAATAAAAACTATGTGGGTGAAACCAAACAATCACTACGCTCTTGAATGAACTCTCACAGAAAAAGTGGTCACTCTATCTCAGACCTATCAGTCCTCATGCTCAAAGGAAAGTTACATAAGAACGGCCGTACTAGGTCAGACCAAAGGCCCATCTAGCCCAGTATCCTGTCTACCGACAGTGGCCAATGCCAGGTGCCCCGGAGGGAGTGGACCTAACAGGCAATGATCAAGTGATCTCTCTCCTGCCATCCATCTCCATCCTCTGACAAACAGAGGCTAGGGACGCCATTCCTTACCCATCCTGGCTAATAGCCATTAATGGACTTAACCATCATGAATTTATCCAGTTCTCTTTTAAACACTGTTATAGTCCTAGCCTTCACAACTTCCTCAGGTAAGGAGTTCCACAAGTTGACTGTGTGCTGCGTGAAGAAGAACTTCCTTGTATTTGTTTTAAACCTGCTGCCTATTAATTTCATTTGGTGACCCCTAGTTCTTGTATTATGGGAATAAGTAAATAACCTTTCCTTATCTACTTTCTCCACATCACTCATGATTTTATATACCTCTATCATATCCCCCCCTTAGTCTCCTCTTTTCCAAGCTGAAAGTCCTAGCCTCTTTAATCTCTCCTCATATGGGACCCGTTCCAAACCCCTAATCATTTTGGTTGCCCTTTTCTGAACCTTTTCTAGTGCCAGTATATCTTTTTTGAGAAAGTTGCACAATGCTTTCAAAAGATGACCCAGGGAGCTTAAATTCATGATTTAGCTAAACACTAAAAATCATGGACTGAACAGACACTGGATTTATGCCTTATTACAATAATCTGTAACCAACGACCTTCCCCCAGCTGCCTCCCCCTCTCCCTTCCTCTTCCCTTTATGACTGGAAGGGTGTTAATGGGTCACTTCACCTTGAATGGTCCCTTGAAATATGTGTTAACTACTTATGCTAAACAATCTGTTCCACTTTGTATTTAGTTATGACACTCTGAGTACCTTTCCCAGACCGGAAGAAGAGCTCTGTGTAAGGCTATGTCTGCACTATAGCACATGTCAGCATAACTTATGTTGCTCAGGGATGTGAAAGAATCACCCCCTTGACTGACATAAGTTACACTGACATAAGTGCCGTAGTGGACAGTGCTATGTCGGCGGGAGAGCTTCTCCCACCGACATAGCTACTGCTGTGCACAGAGATGGTTTTGTTATGCTGACGGGAGAGCTTTCTCCTGTCGGCATAGAGCATCTTCACCAGACGTGCTGCAGCAGTGCAGCTGTATCAGTACAGCTGTGCCGCTGCAGTCCTGTACGTATAGACATGGCCTAAGTTCATAAGCCTGCCTCTCTCATCAACAGAAGTTGGTCCACTAAAAGGTATTACTTCACCCACCTTGTCTCTCTAGGCATTATAGGAACATAGGAATTGCCATATCAGGGCAGATGATTGGTCCATCTACTTCTGTATTCTCTCTTTGGCAACAGCTGTAGATGGTTCAAAGAAAGGTGTGGAAAGCCCCTAAATTAACACAACACCCCTTTAAATATTATCAAACTTTAAAACCATTCAAGACCTAAATTTAATGAAAGGTGAAGACAGTAAGCCCCCCTAGTGTTACATTAGATAGGAGAAAAGTTATGAGGGATTCATACTGTCGTGTTTCAGGGTATAAAGTATCCACAGCTGCTAGGACTTTGGAAGAAATTTCCCTGATGGGAAAGTTTTTTCATAATTGTTCATCATGAGGTTTTGGAGTCATGCGGGGAGGCTACCACTTCGCAGGGAGGTGGATTACCTACATCAACAGGAGAATCCGTCCCGTCAGCATACGTAGTGTCTGCACTGAAGCACTGCAGTGGTGCCGCTGTGCTGCTATAGCATTTTAAGTGTAGTCAAGCCCTGAATGTGAAAGTTGATCCATGATGATCACATCAGCCGGGCTCAGCTGATGCTGGTTTGGGAGTGTTCTAGTGAGAATGCACGGAAGAGGATCACAAAGGCATTTCCAGCTGAGAACCGAGAGACTGGGGGTCTGATGGACCAGGGACACCTCATGCTGTTTCTTTTCTAAGATGCAGCTTTCTTTGTCCTTGTCCCCCTTTCTTGCCAAAGTATGGTCACTGGATAGGGGATGGCCCATCAGCTTTGTTGACACCTGGCTGGAGTGTCTGCTTGCCCTTTGTCTTTGAGAAATTGGTTTAGCTACTCCCCAGAGTTATCTGGGAAACACACTTAAGTCATGATTTCATCTTATGTTCATAGCTTTACACACAATATTGCTAGATGCATTTTACAATGATATTACTGATCAGCAAGTTAGGAGTTTTCAAATGATACATCTCTGCCCCGTTATAACGTGACCTGATATAACATGGGTTCGCTTATAGCGTGGTAGCAGCGGGGCTCGGGCAGCGCTCTAAAGGGTCCAGGGCTCTGGCTGCTGTGGGGAGCCCCGGGCCCTTTAAATCACTGCTGGAGCACTGCTGCCCCACCCTGGGGCTGCGGCAGTGTGGCTCCGCCGGCGATTTAAAGGGCCCGGGATCCCCGCAGCAGCCGGAGCCCAGAGCTCTTTAAATCACCGCTGGAGACCTGCCCCCCACCCCGATATAATGGGGTTTCAGCTATAACGCGGTAGGGATTTTTGGCTCCCCACGACCGCATTATATCGGGGTAGAGGTGTACCTCACAAGGCATGCCTTGTACAAAGATTATCACAGTAGTGTGTAGGGTGTGAATACAGGGGTGCATTTCATCACAATATGTCAGAACATAGAAGGGTTTTGATGAAGCAACTTTATGGTGTTACATCTAGTGTTGTCAGTGATGCAGATTTTTCATTGCAAAAGAGAGAACCTTGAAAGCTTTTGATTTTGCAAGAAAAGATCCTTTACTCAATCTTTCAATGGAATTTGGGCACATAACTCTCTTAGGCTCCTAAATTATGAAGATGTCTGGTTGCAACCGAGTAGGTCGGGTTGAATTCTAAAATGGGCTAAAAATGGGGCATGCATTTCTGTTTTTCTCTGAAGGCAGGTGTTCAGTCAGTTTGAAATTTTACACAGGATTGTTTTATTCCCTTGTAGTTTTCTTTGTTGGTTTTACTTGATACATTTTTAATAGGAAGCCTTTGAATTTGGGCTCTAGCTGAAATTTTTCCTTGGCAGTGTTTCTTGACTGCTCTCTCTTTAAAAACATTGTGTCCATATGCAACATTTGCTAGGGAAGTGGATCTTGCATCGATCAGGTGCACAGAGCAGAGTGTTTTATCTGTGTGTACAAAACTGATTGATGGAGTCTGGGAGTGTGCAGATCTTAATTGATTGATTCTGGGGTTGGATGTACAAAGGGCTGATTGTTTAAGTGGAAAGCAGGCTCACTCAAATGACACGAAAAATAAAACTTATAAACCTTGCTGATTTTTGAATGGCTACTGTTCTGAAAGAACTTCTCTCTCTCTTTTTTTCAGGCTACATGGTGTGTTAGATAAACTACGGTCAGTAACTACTGGTAAGTAAAGTTTGTCCAAGAAAGCAATAGCTTAGCTTTGGAAGCAGATCTCAGTACAGTATTTTCTTACACTCGTATATATATTTTGCCAGTTTTTTAAAAGTTCTTAATTGTCTGTATCATTAATATTTAATGTATATGATGTCTGTGGCTTCTGGCTATTAAGAAAATTGTCATGTATGTTGCTTTTTGGATGAAGTAAATAGGACCTTTTTAAGCAGGTCTTGCTGCTTTTTAAGTCCAGTGGGTTTGCTTCTGAGGATTTCTGTAGAGGCCAATTGTTCATTAGCTTGTGGCTTTAAGGCTGCACTTGCTGTATAATTGATTTACATAAGCAAAGTCACTGAACTTTGATGTAAGGGTGAAGTGCACGTGTCTTCACAGAACCTACTAGCCTAAAGTCTTCAGACTCAAACATCTTTGAGAGCAACTTGCCTTCAAGCAAAAGCAGTTCATGTGGGAGTGATGAGAGACGGCGTGAGGAAATCTTACCACCTCTTGCAGTCTCCAGCACTCGGGCTGAAAGAAATGATTCAAGAGTTTCAACCAGCTCACAAGAGCAGAGAGCCGCTGCTGCCCGGTAAGGCTTCTACCTGCTTATTGGCAAGAGCTCAGATTTCAGGGGATACATCACTGGAATTGTTGTTTGGAAGAGCAGTAGGGATTAACTAGCTGACGAGACCAGAACAGGAGAATGGAGGCTTTTCCAGTCTCAAGCAGAAAAGGGTTGCCTACTGTGTGTTGCATAAAATAAATTATACCTGGAAAGTTTACTTCATGCTTCTTTATGCAATACATGTTCTTATCTTAACTAACTAAACTAAAACTAAAAGTAGATGTCAAGTCTGCCAGATTTTTTAAAAGAGCAAAATCTTGTTTTTTATTTCTGCTTATATTTAAAGCGTTCTTCTAAATTTTGTTTTTCAGGGATTCTTATCTGGCAGTTAGTTAAGACATTGTAACCTCTTCTTTCTCCAGGCAGTCTTATGAAGATGGATCTGCATCCCGCTTAATGTCAACGGTCAAGCCTCTAAGAGAGTTGTCGCCTTCTGAAGCTGTGATTGACATTAAACCTGAACCAGATGATCTCATTGATGAAGACCTAAATTTTGTGCAGGAGAATCCATTGTTGTCTCGGAAGAAAGCTGTTGTAACTGTAACTTATGGATCTTCCCGTCCTACTGCTGAAATCTACAGACCACCAGCTAGCAGAAGCACGGACAGCCATATACACTTACAAAGATTGCCGCAGCAAGGCAGTCTACAGGGTGGTAGGCAGTTGGACATGGAAAGCTGCAGGTCTTTGGAAACAATCCCACTATGTGATCCAGAAGCATTTGGCAGCTTAGCAGAGAGTTACAGGCCCACCTCCAAACTGAGTGCTGATAAAATAAGCAGTGAGGTTAGTATGCAGATCTAAACTATGTCTGTATTTGACACACACTCAACAAAGCCAAGTCACCTTGGATGACACCTAGGAGGGCATCCTGGCCCCAGTGAAGTCAATGGGAGTTTTGATGTAAGTTGGGCCAGGATTTCACCACTTTGGTCTGCTGGCCAAAAACCAGTGTGCTTCAAAAAAAAAAAAAAGCCCTCACAAATTGTTGACTAACTTGGTGATGTGGCATCTGTTTGGTGCTTTACTGACTTGGAGTAATGAATTAGAACATTGTTGGCAGTGAGCATATGGTAGGTAAGAATAATCATTTTAATCTCTAGATTTTTTGGAATAGCTGTGTTCATGCATGAGTTCTTTGTAGATCTCCAGTTTGCCAGGTGTGGAATAAAGATCAACACTGAAGATCAAAGAAGGAAATATATCCATCTACCTATTTGTGTATGTATCTCTATGTATTTTTAGTGTGCCAAACAACTTTGTATTTAGGGTGCATGAATCTTAGTCTCAAAAGTCATGGCTATTACATCACTTGCTGTAGATGTCAAAACGATCCTGTCAGCAGTAAGCTAATAATTCTAGGAATGTCATATTAATTTATTTAGGAGCATTGTGTGTAAAAGAAAAGGGATAAATGGATAGTTGACTTTCAAATTGTTAGGACTGCTAACTTCTTAATAAAGTAAAAAAATTATTTGCCTTCTATTCTAAGTGGAACTGTTTTTTGTTTTTTATTGTTTTGTGACTATAATAATTTGTTGTGCTTATATAATGCTTTTCATCCAAAATGCTTTATAAATGCAGGTAAACATCATCCTCCCATTTTATAGACAGGGTATCTGGGTCTTGAGAAGTGATGTTTCTTGCCCAGTGTCTCTCATGAGTTAGCAGCAGACCAGTCACTTCCCTTCCTGGGGTATATTAGACACGCCCCTTTCTCAATTTTAAAAAAATTAATATTACAATCCTGTATTTAAAAAAAATAGAGGGATATTTATGGAGAGAGCCCTAGAATTTGGAGTTTTATCATCTTCAGCCTTGCCTTAGACTAGTTTTTGTGTCTTGAAAAGTTTTTCTTTCTTCACCAAAGATGTTGATTTCTGTCACTAAAATCCTTTGGCGCATCAGTCTGGCTAGTGAACACACTCTGTATTTATCCAAAGATAGTGCTGCTGCATAGGGGAAATAGGAAAGTATAAGCAGTATAAATGATACTCTTGGCAGCAGAGTTCTGTCTAGGTATTCCTTGGAGGGGATTGTGAGTCACATCCCAAACCTCATTCTTTCTATAGCACTTTTTTTTTCTGCACACAGTGCAATACATCCAGGATTTTAAGCGTGTCTCAGTGTCCTAGATTAGTGTTAAAGTGGAAGCTCTCCATCATCTGTATATTGGTGGAATAACAGGGTCTTGTTTGTTTGCATATTAATGTGGATCTGATTAATGAATTGTTGGTTGCAGGAAGAAAGCTCCAGGAAGAGAAAATTGCCAGTTATAAGCTCAGTGGTCAAAGTGAAAAAGTTCAGTAATGATGGGGAGGAGGAGGAGGAGGAGGAAGACTATGGGTTACGAATAGGAAGTATCTCCAGCAGTGTGTCTGTACCAGCAAAGCCTGAAAGAAGGTACTTGAAGATTTCTATGATCCAGTACTGGTTTTTAATATGAATCTAATAAAGGGGAGTATGGAAAAGGAATGAGGTGATGGATAAATCAAGGTTACCTAAAGGTTTAGTATAGTATGTGAGCTAACTGGTTTAAAACATTAGAATTGAAGAATATCTTATAAAAAGATTTAGTTAGTTAAAGTGTATTTTCAGATTGTGTCTTCTAGCAACACTGTACTTAAATATGCAGTGTTTTAACATTTTGTTGAAAGTGAAACATCACAGTACTGGAACATTTACAATGGCTATTGGAATTCATATATCTTCAGGAAAAATTAATTTCTCTCTCTCTCTCTCTTAGACCTTCACTACCACCCTCCAAACAGGCCAATAAGAATTTAATACTGAAAGCTATATCTGAAGCTCAGGAATCGGTTACAAAGACAACCAACTATTCCACAGGTAATTCATGCTATTTTTATGCTTGGCAAAGCTATGTTATTTCTAAGCCCTTTCAAGGGAGTTGCTTACATAGCTGCTGATAGGTAGATCTGAAGGTTGATCTGGAGTGTTGAAGAGTTCTTTACATCCAGCTCACGGTCAAAACCAAAGCAAGGAAGTCAAACTGCCATCCTGATGTCATCAAATTCCACATGCTGCTGCTGTCACGTTCTACACTATTTCCAAGGATCCTTGGGTAGGATTCTTCAGCATCCTGGCTATCACAGGTTGATTAAACGTATCCGTAGCATAGTCATACTGACAGAAGGCAGGAAGAGCAATGGCTTCGAAAGTCACTAGAAAGTCCAATTTGCATTTGCCGTCCCTTTAACTACAACACTCTTCTGGCCCTGAAAGCTGGGTGAGTGAATGCTGTTGCTAGTGTCAATCTTAGTTCCACTGTAGGCCAGCTGTGGCTCTGCACCGGCTGTTTGTGTGAGGGATCAGAAGTTGATCTTACAAAGCAGGCGTCCTAAGATTGCAGCACGTGGAACTGCCACTAGGCCAGTCTCTGGACTGCGTTTAAAGTTATACACTTAGATTGTTGAGAATGAAATTATTTTGGAATTAAATGCAAACGTAGTACCACTATGTGTGTTTTTTTTAACATGCTCAACTGTTTGACTTATATAAAGTTCCACAGAAGCAGACAGTTCCAGTTGCACCCAGAACAAGAATTGCCCAGGATGAAACGCTATTAGAAGTGATCCATGTACAGAGCCGACCTTCCAGAGTGAGCGCCCAGATTGAGGCAGAAGAACCCAAGGAACAGACATTAGAAAGAATTCAAGGTAATTCTGATAATACTTTTCAAAAACCCATAAGTGGGAAAGTTACTTTACTTAAACATGGAAGCCTGTTCCAGGCTGATTATCAAGTTGTTGGTCACGTGCATTATGGTAGCATATAAAACTGAAATTTCACCAAAAGTGCACCAGAAAAAAACAAAGTATGCACTGGAGAAGCAGATTTGAGCACCTTCTAGTGGTGCCGCAGCTTGTTAGTTGCTTCTGTAGCTGTTGGACTCTCTTAGAAGCCAAGAATCAAAACCATAAAGGGCTTTATAGATCAAAACCAGCCCCTTGTGTTATACCTGGAAATGAGCTGAAAGCCATTGAGGTTTCTGGAGCAAAAGTGTAATATGTAATAATCGCTTCTGATGAGCCAAGCAGGAAGCAAAGATTTGTATATCCTTCTGGTTTATAGTGAATAATTTCACATAATGGAGCTGCCACCAATCAGGATACACTTATTTGCATATGTATTATGTTTGGTTACTATTTCCCCATCCTTAGTATTTTTGACTGTACTCTTCACAGGAGGGAAGGCTTAATCAGTATCTTATGAAAGAGAGAGAGTTACAGTATTGGAGATATAGAGTCAAGGTGCAGTGTGCTTTGAGATATTACAAAATATTTTCAGCGTTACTGTTATCAGATGAGTTGTCTTCAAAAGTTTTTACCACTTTATAGGTTTTAAAACGTACTGTAGTCAAGGGTTGTGGGAAGACTGGTAAGACAGTGGTTACTTAAAATATCAAGCTCTGTCTTCACCTTTGTTATAAAACTGCTAAAAGAAAACCGACTCAACATTAAAGGCAATAAAGAGTATAACTCTGAAAATGTCAGCAAAATATTTAGCTTTTCCTACATCAAAGGGCAGTGCCAGAGCAACAAGTTAAACACCTCACCTGGGCTAACTGAAAGAGAAGCTGCTGTGTGACACTCTGATGCACCTGAGGATTCAATTACTGTTTTAAGCATGTTGGAAAAAATATCCAAAGATCTTGCTAAAATTAAGGGAATAAAAGAAATTATTCTAACAGCTCAGGCAGATATTTCTGCCCTGAATGCCTTGATAGCAAAGAATGAAGCTGAAATTTCTGCTTTAGAGATTTCAATAAATGAATATGCAGCCTCAGCAAGTGCATGTGACAGGCAGTTTGAAGTGTTCTTACCGAAACCTAATGGGTTTTGAAAGCCATGTGACAGGCATTAATAAAATAATTTTCACCTTTGGAAACACTGACAAAGGTAATCCCATTTTAAAAAAAAGGTTTTGGCAGTAAAACCTGCTGGCACTATTGAGCTCTTCTGCTTACCTTCCAGTTAGTTGTGGGAAGGGCTCATAAATCATTCACTCCCCATCCAGCTTGGATCAAAAACATAAACCTGTTATAATTATATTTTTTGAGATTCGATGCTAGAATTGTGAGAACCCAAAGGAAGCACAAAAAATCATTTTTATATCATGTGTATACCCAAACTATATAATTTATCTTTCTAGACTTAAAGTTGGCCAAAAAAATAGTCTTCCCTTGGAAGACCCTTCTCCAGTCTAAATTAGCAATAATGACCAATGTGGGCATTTCATGGCTATTAATGAACCCTGGCAAGAGTTGAGGGCCCGAGGTAAGTCTTTGTTGGTTTACCCCTTCAGAATTTTGGGTATCTTCATCCCTAGGTTTTCCAAGTTCTTTGATACAACCTTTAACAGTGGGATGATTACGTCCATTTTCTCGAAGAGGGTCACTTAGAATTAGCCCTGTAGTTGCTCATTATGTAGAGCTTTTATCTACTCTTCATGTAACTGCACTCATGTGTGCTGCTTTCATGGCTAAGAAACTAATCCTGGCAAAATCTTAGATAGCATACAACATAAATAAGTGATTGGAGTAATAAAAGACCTAATCCTGCATTGGGTTCCACATGGGCCACGGTCTTGAACAGGGATCGGCAACCTTTGGCACGCGGCTCACCAGGGTAAGCACCCTGGCGGGCTGGGCCGGTTTGTTTACTTGCTGTGTCCGCATGTTCGGCTGATCGCGCCTCCCACTGGCCGCGATTCGCCGCTCCAGGCCAATGGGGGCTCAGGGAAGTGGCGGCCAGCACATTCCTCGGCCCGCGCCGCTTCCCGCAGCCCCCATTGGCCTGGGACGGTGAACCGTGACCAGTGGAAGCCGCGATCGGCTGAACCTGTGGACGCAGCAGGTAAACAAACTGGCCCGGCCTGCCAGGGTGCTTACCCTGACGAGCCGTGTGCCAAAGGTTGCCGATCCCTGGTCTTGAGCAACATGTGCTCTTATGTCTTTGAACCAAATGAGTTGAATATAAATTATATCTACTAGTAAACATCTTTCTTCCTCCTTCTTTTTCTAAAATCTGTATTTCATAATATTAGCATCTATTCAAAATTAAGAAGTAATTGAGATGAAAATAGTTTAAAAAAATCCAATAAATGTCAGTTGTGTTAAAGGAGCACCATCAATTTAATAATCACACTGAAACTTTGTTACTTGCTGTTGCTAGAAAAACACCTACGATTATTATATTTGATAGCGATTAGAGGAAACGAATTGTTTTTCTCTCTTTGTTAATGTTTTCTTTGTGCATTTGATAGCTTTTTTTCTTATAGTCAGGTTCGTTGTTTCTCCTGTGTATATGTAGTAAGTCTGTTGTGCCTACTGTTTGTGTGTCTTTCATATAGCAACCAGGGAGAGAAAAACATTTAAAGAGAAAAGCTGTCAGGGAGACTTGGGTGTAGGACATTCAGTTGTTTTCATGTTGTGAAACTGACCAGATTTCAAGTTGACAGGGGGTCTCTGTCTCCTGGGGATTCTAAATATGGCATTCTGCTTTGGGGTAGATCTGCATCTTCACCAGTGACCCAATGGAATTGCATGTACACTCCAAACTTAAAGGGATTTTCCCAATATTATACCAACCAAAGTGAAGTTCACTGAACATTTATTATCGCTTCATGTTAATTCTTTTTGCTCAGTTAGCCACTGATCCTGCAAACAAACATGACTTTGCTACTGTAAGTGGTCCCTGTGAGTGTTTGCAGGATTGGGGTCTTAACCACTTGCTACTGCAACATAAACTTTTTTGAGGAACCCTCATTGCTCACTATTTTCTGTGCATCTTTGCTATAAACAAACCTGGTCATGTGTGTGACACTGGGGAAATGGAGTGTGTCCCAGTGCGAAATGTTCAGGGAGGAATTCTTGGTTTTTAAAAAAGAAATTAAGGTAATGTAGAAACAGCATAAATAAAGCACATCAAATATCTAGATTAAATTAAAGGATAAAATGGATTTGAGTGGGATCTCTGTCAAGTTGGCTCAACTTCATTGTCTGGGGGTAACAATTTCCTGTTAAAATTAATCATTGTTTTTTCAATCCCTTGTTTTTGATTTTATTTTTTTATCTAGCCACTTTAGTCTATAGCATTTAATGCTGGCAGATTACTTCAGAATAGGAATGAGTTTGAATAGTTAATTTATAATGTATAGGAAAACTTTTCCTGTATCTGTATATGAGATGGTTTCGTGTTTATAAACTAAATGTTGGGGGTTTTAAATGGAAATGACTGCTTAGGAACACTATCAACCTATTGTAAGGGCCGGTTTACACTAGGTACTTACATCTCTCAGGGGTGTGACAAATCCACACTCTTGAGAGATGTAGCTATACCAACCTATCCCCTTGTGTATACAGCACTACCTTGTCAGAAGAATTCTTCCGTTGACCTAGCTACCACTTCTCGGGGATGTGGATTACCTATGCTGACAGGAGAAACCCTCCCGTCAGCGTACGCAGTGTCTCCACTGAAGTGCTATAGCAGTGCAACTGTACAGATGTAGCATTTTAAGTGTAGACGTGCGCTAATTTTTCCAAACGTTAACAATAAATCTAATGCAGAAGAATGTTCTAACCTCATTTGTCTAGCAACTTTAAAGCATAAAGTAGCCTCTGTTTTAGTTAGTTCCTTGCATTTGAGTGTGCCTGAGAGGAGGCAGCTGGAAATGGGGATACCTGCTGTACTACTCAAAATATAGACAATCCCTGTAAAAATAAGGGATGAAGGTGCAAGCAGAACTGATCTTTATAGTACTGTTTCTCCCAGAAGACTATGCATCCACAAACATAATCCATGCAGTCACAACAATGGGAAAGATTGGGCTCTCTAAACACCTGGATTTTGGTGTGATCTTGTCCTGCTGGAAGAAATGTTTTATTGCTATATGTTTTGGAACATTTGAGATGGAGAAATAAAAACACAGAAATGAAAATTTCTTCCTCTGTTAGTTTTGATTTTTTTTTAAGATCAGAAAGAAAGGAGAGTTAGCAGTTGGGTCCTCTTTTAATTTTGACATGCAGTAAAATGTGCTTCTAATCCATATTTTCTTTAGGAACTCAACAAATGCAGCTCTTTTCCCGACTCCAGACTGAACCGTTAATTGAAGAAACTTTGCAAATGACTCAAGGTTAAGGATGGCTTTTCTTTTTTTCTTTTTGAAAATGTGATAATTTGACCAAAGAGGCCATTGTATTTTAGGTTTAAAATAGCACTTCCCTTTAAATTAGTTATATTTGTAATGTCCTCTAGTTTTTATACGTTAAGTAAAATCTTTCCATCAGTGGGTGCCAAAAATGAGATATTGGTGAATAGAGCCAGCTGCTGCTGCAGAGCCAGCCCGATAACAAACTCCTAGTGATCAGGCCATAGGCTGCTCCACCTTCAGCTGATATAATCAGAGTTGGTGCATAAAGAAGGAAGTACACTCATTTTCTGTTTAAAAACTAGTACAGAGAATTGAAAACAAAATGCTAGTTGGTTGGTCTCTTCGAAATTATTATTCAAAAACATGACTATATACTAAAGTGCAATACAGTGGTTCTTTTATTCCAACTTTGATCCAATTTTTCTGTGACTCAGATTATTATGACGTGGAGAGTGTGGTCCACACTGATACTAGATCATTTATTCTGAAAAAGCCAAAGCTATCTGAGGAAATAGTAGTGCCACAGAACCAGGAATTGGGAAAGAAGGCTGCAGAGGCAATGCGGGCACTTTCAGGACGTCTTATACAGACAAGGTAAAAAGTCAGTCCTTTACTTCATTTAAAGAAGTAACGGGACCAAATATAAGCCAAGTCTTGTTACTGTAATGTATCTTGTAATTGGTTAGAATGTTTATTTAAATGTAACAGGTTGGAAGAACAAATTCATTTCTTGGTTTCCATGCTGCAGAAGCCCAATCAAGACTGATGAAAACATGGACAAAAGAGCCTGCAGCCCAGCCCAAACTCGGAAATCCTGACACTCATTTCTTTTAAATTGAAAGTGTGTCCCAGGCTTGTGGTTAGAGCAATTTTTTCATTTACCAGGAAAATAGAAAAAGGAATCGGATGGCTTGCAGGTATCAGAGGGTGGCCCACTTGTATTGTCATTTTTATTACAGCTGTTACATCTTGCTGAAATCTAAGCAATAGTTTGCATGGGGTCTTGTTAAGGAGTTTTAATTTTGTTTAACTTTTTTACTCATTATATTTATTCTTAGCCCATCAGTAAGACTAAGATTTTGTCATGGTTATTTTTAGTAAAAGTCACAGACAGGTCACAGGCAATAAACAAAAATTCACGGAAGCCGTGACCTGTCTGTGACTTTTGCTGCTGCAGCTCCATAGTTTCCCCCACCACCGTTGTGGCCGGGAGCTGTGGGGTTCCCCCTCTGCCCACAGCAACTGGAAGCGGCAGGTGACTATATTTTCCAAAGAGAAAATGGGACACCCCACCCTCCACTCCCCCTTCCTGCGAGGCTGTCGCCCATTGCTGGAACCCTGAGGAGAGTCCCCTCAGGAGTCTGTCACCTGTCACTGGAACCTTGAAGGGGGCTCTGCTGGCTGCCAGCTTCAGAGTCCCACAGCCCCTGGGGCTGAAGCAGAGAATGTCACGGAGGTCTCTGGAAATTACGAATTCCGTGATTTCCATGACATAAACGTAGCCTTACCCATCAGACTACATGCTAAACATTTTAAAATGGTCTCTTTGTTGTATTGATGTCCTCTACCCACCTATCATTTTGAACCATAGATGTGTAGAGAACGGAGGCAAACAGCAAGGTTAATGTTAATTTTAGATGGTAGACGCTATTTAAGGAGGACAGCAAGTGAATGTATTCCTGATTGGGTTTGCCTGGGAGTGTGGGTGTAAAACTGAGCTGACCTAACTGGAGCCTCCATACTCAGAAGCCAGCAAACAGCTATTAAGTAGGTAAATGGTGTGTGGGAGCCCTGCTTTATGGGGGTTTTCCTATAAGGTGTTTAGCTAAGGGAAGCGTGGGACTCATAGCTGTTGAGAAAGGTCTATGTTGAGTTCACTGGGTCTGCAGAAATCAGTGCCCAGTGGACAGCACTCCTTTTAGTTCATCCTAGTAGGGAGCAGCTCTGGTTTTGGGGTATGTGTATGTTTTACCTGTTTATATACAAACTGCAGGAGTGGATGTGATGCCATATGATGAATGGCATTTAGCATGTACCTTTCATCACTTCACTGGCCCTTAGCCTTCTAGTTCCTCTTTACCAGGGATCTGCTAACATTCCAAACCCCTGAGCAGTTTCTGTGTAAAAAAAGGCAACCTTCCAGAGAAGTGTTTCCTTTTTTGCTCTCCAAAAGTGAAATGTTGTCACCAAAATTACAGTTACTCAAGGCCCTGGATGGTCATGATTCAGTCCTGTACTAGACAAGTTTAGCATCCAATATCTCATGACGCTGCAGGGCTGGAAACTGGAGCTTTATACCTTTGGAAAGAGGTGAGTCCTCCCATCCAATGGGACCCTGCTCTGACATCTAGCCCTAAAAGGTCTTAATATATTGAGCCTTACATTTGTAATGTTTTTAATATATTAAAAACACATTTTAGGCCCTTTATAGACATGTATTCAATTTCAGTTGCTTCGTTACCCCTTCTAACTATGTAGCATATAAAGAATACATGATGGTGTGGTGATAGATAAAGGCTTTGGTAGCACTTGTTTGGGATGGCTGCATAATTCACTTTTGCCTTTGCCACTTGTGAGTAATGCAGCCATCCTAAACTCAAGCTCACCTACTCTTTTCAGACCTCAACATGTATCTTTCACTGTGTCTCTGAGGGGTATATGCATGTATATTGTACATGAAATAGCTTCTTCCAAGGATTCTGAATGGCATTTAGCTCACTTTTATGCCTCAAAGTTGACTTATTTTAAACGGCTTAACTGTGCTCCTTTAGTGACTTTGCACCTATCAATGAGTCTCTGAATTTGTCCTTTTGAGCCAGTGTGCACAGGCTGTAAAATCTACCTGTTGAAATTTACTACTCTCTGTAGGTGTAGATTCCTGTTCTTTTTGGTGTGTCAGTGATGCACTAAGGAATGTTGATATTTGAAGACGGTGATTATTGTTGGCCAAAAAAAAAAAAATCAATCCTGGATAGTGACTCATAGACTTTAAGGTCAGAAGGGACCATTATGATCATCTGGTCTGACCCCCTGCATGCTGCAGGCCATAAAACCGTCCCTACCCCTTCCCTGGACTCTGCTGCTGAAGTCCCCAATCCTGTTACTAGTGACTTCAATCAGCAGAGACCC